GAGGAGGAGGAGGAGGAAGAAGAGAAAGAAGAGAAGGAGGAAGAGGAAGAAGAATAGGAAGAGAAGGAGGAAAAAGAAAAGGAGGAGGAGGAAGAAGCAAGAGGAGGAGGAAGAAGAAGAGGAAGAAGAACAGGAGGAGGAAGAGGAAGAAGAGAAGGAGGAAGAGGAAGAAGAAGAGGAGGAAGAAGAGGAAGGAGGAGGAAGAAGGAGGAAGAGGAGGAGGAGGAAGAGGAGGAGGAGGAGGAAGAAGAGAAAGAAGAGAAGGAGGAAGAGGAAGAAGAATAGGAAGAGAAGGAGGAAAAAGAAAAGGAGGAGGAGGAAGAAGCAAGAGGAGGAGGAAGAAGAAGAGGAAGAAGAACAGGAGGAGGAAGACGAGCAGGAGGAGAAAGAAAGAAAGAAGAAGAAAAAGAAGAAGAAGAAGCAGCCACAACAGCAGCAGAGGCGGAAGCCTTTGAGATCCGAGGTGGGACGGATGAAATGTTGCGACCAGCCACACTTACCACAAGCCCCTTTGCTCATGACTTTAATGCGACGCTGCTGGTTGCACTGGGCTTTCTCCAGCTCACATTCGTTACTGTAGGTCGAATAGTCCGAACCGCACACCGGAGCCACCACGGACGGGCAGGCGGCTTTCTTACAAACACACACGCCTTGGGAAGAGTCCGTGGGGTTCTTCTCGCAGATGGCACCGAAGCCACACAGCACCCCTCGACAAACTGTGGGCGGAAAAGAGAAAAGAGAGTTAACGCTCTGCCTGGGCGGAAGGGTTTAAAAAAGCAGAACGCAAAAACTGGGCTCAGGTTTCTAGTCCCCACGGAGAAAAGGAGGGAAATTGCTCTGGGCAGACAAAACAGGATGCAGGAACCTCGCACTGATATCCAGAATAGGTATCGTTGACCTCAATGAATTCAGCCTCGGATCCAGTTCACACAACTTGGCATTTTTATCTACCTATCGAGTCCTTACCAAGGACCTGGGATAGGCAAATCTGGACTGTTTGATGGTGTCACAGCTCTCGCCGCAGGATGGAAGCTGTTCCAAGCAAAGCTGCCTTCTGTAATTGACCGACGGCGAATGTGTCAATGCCGCTGATGCTGTTCAAATGGTGCTCCAATTGTTTCGGGACTGCACCCAAGGCACCTAGGACTATTGGCGCTACCCTCGCTTGCCTTTGCCACGATCGTTCTATTTCTATTTGTAGGTCTTTGAATTTTGTTATCCTCTCCAGTTCAATTATTATTATTACTATTATTATTACGGTGGTTAATCTCTGGTGAGATTCACGGCCTTTGGGGCTGGTTGGTAGCTCAACAGCTCGAGTCCTAACCAAGGACCTAGGAACAGTTCAGGTAGCGTCAGAGGACATAAGCTGTTCCAAGTAGGGTGCTTTTTTTGTAGAATCAGGGTATTCAAGTCTGATAAATTATTATGACTATTATTATTATTAGTTATATTAATTATTATATTTATTATTGTTGTTGTTATTGTTATTATTATTATACTACACAAAAACGACAGTATACACAGCGAATGAGATAACCATGCTGGGTTTCGTATCACAAATCACTAGCCGAACACTTCCCAAGCGTTTAGGACTGTGTGATCTATCAGCGGATTATGCGAGCAGATCCCAGTATGGTGGCCTTCTGCAGCTGACCATGGGTGATCTTGTCAGCGCCAATTGTTTTTAAGTGCTTGCCTCGGTCTTTAGACACAGAACATTGTTGTTGTTATTTTTATTATTATTTTACAAATGTTACGCTTGGCTGTTTTGGGGGAACTAGTAGAAGGGGACTCTCCAGGTGAGCTAGTGTACAACTTGAAGTAATGTGTGAATCCATCACCTGGGTTCATAGAGTAATAAGGCCTAAGCCTCATAACACAGTCTGTCTTGATAACAGGGCCTGTCTCCAAAAATCTGCGCTTCCTCACGGCCCTTTTGTCCAGAGACCAGATGAATGAATGAGGAAGGAAGGAAGGGATACATGTAATGAAGTCATAAATCTGATTTCCAAAGGAGGGAGGGAGGCAGGGCAGAGTTTGCCCAGCCTCCAGCCTCACAGATCTCCCTCCTTCCCCCACACCCCAAAAACATGAACGATGGTACAATTCCCAGCATCCCCCTAAGGCAGGAGGCCAAGAGGTGAGGGGTGCCTGGGAGCTGTAGTTCAACCGCAAGGGCAGGGCCAGCTCAAATGAAAAAAACTGTCATACAAACACATCCTTTTTACCTATAGAACCTGACCATAATTCTATACAGGATTCCGTCATCTCTCTCTCTCTCTCTC